ACGCTCATCCACACTGGAGAGAAACCTCATGAGTGTGATATCTGTGGAACTGCCTTCAGGTAAAATACTTTAAAAATATTCAGCCGAGCGGTCGCAAGTGCGACTGCTGCGCAAGGGGTTTCGGATTCGATTCCCGGGTCGGGCAAAGAATTACCTATTTTTTTTAAATTCTCAGTCTACTACTAAGAATTTTGGAGCCTGGAGAGGTGCCCGGTATATTGCAATAAGCTCACCCCCTATTACATGGGACTCAGAACATAAATAGCGAAAAGTGGCTGTTACATTGTACAGTGATATTAAGTGCCGTAATGTGCACCTCTGTCTATGCCTTCGGGGATAAAACGCGTGATGTTATTTCTAATTAATACTTCATCTATCTATATCATGTTGTATCTGAAAACCTACGAGACCCTACAATTTAGCAAACTAGAAACTTTCGCCTTACCTATAATATTTGACATTAAATCAAGTTATAATAAAATGAACACGGACAGTTCATGAAATTGTTAATGAACACTATTTAAAGCGTAATTTATTTGACAAGTTACTTAAGGTGTATCTCTTATTTTTAGCAAATCATATACTTTAAAAATGCCAAATAGCAAAGAGCCTATAGAAAATCATCTAGCCACTAATTACAATAATACCCTACTTACACTTTAATTTACTCAATGATTAACTTAGTCTTAGTCAATCCATAAACAAGACTAGGTTCTTAAAGATCACAGCACAAAATCAGTTACCCTAAACTCTTAAATCTATACTTCATCTTCACGCTATAACTTATACAAGAAGGGTAAGCAAAGAATGACAAAAACGGTCCCACAGTACCTTAAACCAAAATGATTTGTGTCATTGTGTCGTTTCTACCTGCACTCGGGCAAAGTATTGTACCTTTATCCTTATGCGTATCTCCCCATCTTTTTCAAGTTCGGTGTAGTAAGGATAAATATAATAAGAAATTGCTATTTAGATGCTAAACACTTTAGGACGTCTTTTAGTCATCTTTAGCTCCCATTAGCTTTTTTATACTATTTAGTTATGGTAGGTAGTATTGGTAGCAACAGCAATAATGTAGGCAATTATTCAATTTCAAATTATAAATTAGGCTTTGGCAATCCGTCTTGAACAAGTGTGGTGGTTAATGCTAACAAACTCCTTTTCTGTGTGAGAAGAGGTCTTTGCCCAGCAGTCTGATTGAAAAAGTACCTGTATACCTATGACAATGGGCGAACCTTGGTAGCACCGGATGCGGGATTTCCACAGAAAAAAATATTTAACATTTATATATTTATAGGTACGTGCAGTGCAGATCTTCGAATACGAATGTTATGCTTTTTATTCTAGTAAGCTAATAATATTTCGAGTTAGTTGACTTTTACTATTCGCGTGTTGTACGTTCCTAATTATATTTTAAGATTGTCTAACTGAGGTTACATGTTTGTTATTTGGTGTCTACAAAATAAAATTACGCCTCTTATTTTTCGAAGTTATAGGCGGCACTCTAGGTCCTGTTCCATTTGTTCCTGTTATCAAAATATCATGTTGTCGTGCATAAGTTTTGGACTCTATGGCATTGATTAAATATCGTAACAGTACTTTGAAATAGAATACGAGACCCTTCACTTGGCAGTCGCGTTCGCAGCCACTCGGTTAACGATACAATCACTACAATGAAATTTAATGATGTTCTTCTAATAATCTTGATTTTCACAGACGTTCAGGTGACATGTGGAAGCATAAGAGAACTTTACATGGAGTCCAGGCAGTCTCCATCGACATAGAGTTGAAAAAATGAGAAAGAAATATCAGCGCCATGTTTGTTCCAAAATGTGGTCAATAGATGTCGCTAGATGTATCAAACGAGGGGAGAAACTTCAGTCGAGCGCAGAGCTAAACTTAGAATTATATTTTTTATAGTTTTTATTAAACGTATTGTTATTGTGAATATACTTAGATATAAACAGTATTCTTTTGTATTTTGATTGTAATAAAAATACATTGCTTGTAAATAAATACATTAAATATCTTTTTCGTATATTGAGTAAGTACTATCACAGTTTATCTGTCGCCGAAATTGCAAGTAGATAAGCACTGTTTTATTTTGTCTACCTACTTATTTACTTTGATACATACTTAGTATATGTTTTAACTCACAACTCACAGACTGCTCCAGGAATTTAAACTTTTTCCCTGATACTTTTATTATACACTAAATAGTATTCTGTGTTTCAATTCAGAAGCACGAAGTGACCGAATAATGATGAGTAACTTCAAAATATATGACAAATTCTCACCATTTTCCTCTTTTTAGGTTGAAAACAAAGTAATAGTTTATATTTATGTTGTGTTTACACCAGAAAACAGTGTCATATCTTGGGAAAGACTTGTTATGGTCAGATTTGAGTAACTACCCATTGAATAGGTGAGTTGGTTTGAGTTAGTACCTATGAGTAGTCAGCTACTCAGTAATGACAAACTATTCTTACAAGAATTCGGTACTAACAAGTCAGCCTGTTGTTAATTTTATGGAGCAAGTCAAAAAGTTGTCTTTATATTGCAGTCAAGTCTTCTGATAGAATTTTTTGTAAGTACGGTCGACAGTCGAGCATACGGATTCACCGGATGTATTCGACGTCGCCCATGGGATGTCCATCTCTAGAGGAGTTACAAATACGTTGACGGCCTTTTGGGGCTTGACAGATTTCAGGAATTGGTTATTAAAATCTGCTGCTAATTGGCTCGTTTGTCATGAGTTTCAATGAAAATGTTACCTAAAAGGACTTTTGACTTCGAAATTCTTTGTATCAGCAGTCAGCAGTCATATTACTTAACAGAAATACGGGAAAAGTGCGAGTGACGTTACACCTTGTCGTATCAGCTCGGGGAAAAACAGACATGACGTTGTTGAAATGGTATATCAGATTTTCTATTTTTGTTAAGTGGCTGGCAGTGGTAGAATGTTATGAAATGAAGATTGGGAAGAAGACCCATATTTAGCAGTGGACAGGAACGGAATGATGATGATGATGATGATGATAATGATTTTTTTTTAGGGGGGAAAATCGTCGAATAACTTCTCTTCAGTGTCAGACACTTACTGACTAAAAACCACCTCGTTCCTACTCCTGCACTTCGAGCCGGAGCCCCGGTAACCCGTTAGGTTCTCCGGCGGCTCATGATGATGATGATAAAGGCAATTTTTAAGTGAAATGTGAGTGGATATTAATAAATCGGCACGGACGGTCAGCAGTGAGTCAATATATTAGAAAGTATCAGACACTCCAAGGACATTTTATGGTCACTTGTATGCCTGGATAAACAACATCACATTACTTTTTGTTGTGTTACGTCGATAGATGGAGAAATATTTTGGCTACATCCTAATTTCTTACCAAAATAAACATACGATATCCCTGCTACCCTACTGCATCTGTCTGTGTATCTGTTAGGTATAATCTCAAAAAGACCTTAACGGATTTTAATGCGATTTTCACCAATATTCTGACAAAAACGTCCCATTGCTTATCAAACTTCTCGTTGTTTAATTAAACTGTCAAACACCAAGCGGTCACCGGTGACCGCAACCTATTGTTCTATAATTGTGTCTACAAAACCGGTACTCGACGAGTTAATTATTATTTTGTATAGTTTCTCATTGAAGTACTAGTACTTAGTTGACTTCTGTAGCGCTTGCAACTTTTACATTATATCCTCAGTTAAAAATAGATAAAATCGGTAAAATATATAACAACAATGGCACTTTTGTTCATAAACTGACCGAACAATACAATCCAACAAATTGCGAATTGTTTAATTGTCTTTTTAGGCTAATAGTCATGAACGATATATTTTTTGGGATCTTCGGCTAAGTCATGAACGATATTTTTTTGGAAGGATATTACATAGTTTAAAAAAGTACCATAATATACAAAACTGTGACATTAGAGGGTGTATAGAATTAACAGAAAACTATCCATTTTGATATTTCGAAAGTACATACATTGATTTGACGATCGAATCGGCTATTTTCCAACGAACGGAATAAGCTTCAAACCAAAGTCCATGGTAATATTATCGGCCCTTATCACATGGGGCTTACGACATAACTACATAGAACTGCGCAATGTAGATGTTCATATAACTCTGTGAAGGTCTTTTAAGATTTACAGGTGTAATGTTACATGTGCGTGTCATGTACTGTAGTGACCTCTAGTTGCTTCAATGTCCCAAAGACGAAAGGGCAAAGGCCTTATCTTATTCGGGAAAGGAGTGACTATATTTATTGAGGTAGCTAAATCTAAACCGTCGTCGTAACATCATACTGCACGCTACACACCGTACGATTCAACTGTACAGGTAAATCGTAAAGTATATAGAAAAAACAGTTAAACTATATAATTTTATATGAAGGTGTTTTTTAATCCTCGAAATGCTAAGCAGAAGTGTAGATTTAAAAAGTAATACCCATTTCTATAATGGTGTACTGTAAGCATGTCGCCATAATATTATTATGTATGTATATCGTGGTATTGC